TTACATGTGGCTAAGGTAAAGAACTGACATTTAACATACACCTCCCCCCCCAGTTTTGCCCCCCTTCCATAGCTTGTTGCTGGATTTGGCCAAGCTAAGTGGCATAAAAAATTAAATGAAGGTGACTAACAATGTCATTGCTCCGGAACAAAAATTGAGTCTTGAGTTGGACAGTGGCTCAGGATTAAGTGTGTATCATTTTATTTTGACAAGCTTTCCTCATAAAATTATAGGCTCAGGTGGCATAGATAGTAAGTTCTCTTGAACTCAGAGTGGGCATATCAAAGATCATCTGCTTTATGAAGTTTCAGTCATTTGAGGCAGAAATGTCACAAATACCTAACCAGAAACATGGAATATCTTCCTTTAGATTTAAAAAGACATCCTTGATTCAAAACGCTTCTTCATAGTATTTGTATCTGTAAATAGCCCAAATTTAAGGATGCTCATTCTAAGATTCCCACTGTGTAGCTTCCATCTGAAATGTACTGAACTCTGTTTATAATAAATACAGGTGTAATGAAAATCCTCTTTATAATAACGTAAAATTAAAGCCTGTGTCTGTTCAGTGCTATGCAGTAGGTTTAATGGTGTTAGTTTGCAGAGGGCTTTCTCTCTGGAATGTAATAAAGGTCCAGGAAGTTCCCCTAAACTGGAGAGCTGATAAACACCTCATCCACTCCCACAGTCATGAGATGAAAGTGAAGCCACTGGCAAAGTTCCTAGCAGCTTTGTGGTAAAGTAAATAAAGCATTTATTGCTACTCTTTTTTTGCTTCAAAAGTGAAAAAGCGAGCTTGCTAGTATTTCTGTGACCAGTACAATGAAAAGGAACTATTCTGTGTCTTTCTGCATAGAGAAAAGTCGTGCTGAGAGTAAAGCCAACTATCCATCTCTCTTGGAGGGGGAGAGGGGAAAGACCCTAACCTTTCTCTCCACCCCCAAAAAAAACCTAACAGAGCTGAAGCTACAGGCCACCATTCATTATTAATACATATGAGCTGTACTTACAAACTGTTATTCCATACAGGAACTGTAGCCTTCCCTAATTCTTTTGATGGTAGGTAACTGCTTTCATTCAAAATTCCAGGTAAATGGCTTGGGTTGGAAGAAGAGGTGCTCTAAGAAAGCCCAAAGTGTCAGTCAGTCCCAGGATGATGACTGGCCTGGGACTGGGAGTTGTTGCTGCAGGGAAAACCTCAAGCCTGGCCTTGTTCTGGAGTTCCCTTAAATGTCCTTTGGGGGAAGAAGGTAATAATATGATGTTCCAGGAGAGCCCATCGTCAGCACTGAATCAGTTGCATCAAGAGGACTACAGATGGCTCCTCAAGAAGGCTTTCCCAATGGCAAGGGGAGAGGTGGAAAGAAAGTAGGAGTGGGCGTTTGAAGCTTTTAGCTGCTATTGGCAGGACAGTCATATTATATTTTGTTCCTCACTCCTTCCCTCCACGTGCAGTTTTAACAGCCTTGTTTCTTGGATATGTTGGGTTTGCTGCAAATATATATAGGAGTTTTGGTTTCTGATGTGCCAGTGTGCCAAGTCATTACAAGAGTCTAAACCATGCTTTGGACAAGACAAACATGAGTACTGTCACATCACTGCTGAAGTGACTTCCCTGAGGAAGTTATACTTGTACGTGTTACATACACACATACTAAGTATGGAAATACCAAACTGGCTGAAAATGTTAGGTAACTGGGGTGCTCTGCAGATGCTTTCAAATATCTGTCCATACCATTAGTATATGGCTTGGATGCTGCCTAGCTTTATTGAAGTAGTCAGAGTTTATGTCTTAAAAAATCCCAGCATTTGAAGAAGTACAGGTGCTTGGATTATATGTTGGTTTGGTGTGTTATTATTGCCTTTGCTATGCTATACCTGCTACTTTAAGAAGCTTATCTAAGTGTAGTGGACAGTGATGTGGTAGATGATGTGGGATCAGATACACTCTAACTGGTTTGCAATCAATAACCACGGTGTGATTTCTATTTTTAAATAATCAGAGAATAACTGTCTATTTAAAATGCCTAGCCCACATAATATATGTCATTATTATATAGTTACAAATGATGCAATGTGGGTTGTGGAGTTTTATGCCACCCGTGTTTTACTTCCTTTAGAATAAGTGAAGCTAATGTCCTAATGGCAGTTCAATTGCTTCCACCATTATTGAAGTGTTACTAACTAAAGACATGTTTAAATCACAGAAAATCAAGTCTAACTGAAGTAAAACCTGGACTGTCCACATATGGCATGCAAAAAGGGTGTAAAAATAAGCAGATTTGCTGAATGCCTCCAATATTAATGGTGTAGGCACATCCAGCCTGTCAATATTTGGATAGGAATACTTTAGTAGCAAATGTAAGTTGAAGCCCCTTCTGTTCTTCTTGGACTGCTCCAGCGTGGGTCCCTGTGAGGTCACAAGTCCGGCTGCAAACCTGCTCCAGTGTGGGCTCCTCTCTCCATGGGGCCACAGGTCCTGCCGGGAGCCTGCTCCAGTGAGGGCTTCCCATGGGGTCACAGCCTCCTTTGGGCAACTCCATGCTCCAGTGTGGGGTCCTCCATGGGCTGCAGGTGGAGATCTCCTCTACCATGGACCTCCATGGGCTGCAGGGGCACAGCCCATCTCACCATGGTCTGAACCACAGGCTACAGGGGAATCTTTGCTCTGGGGCACCTCCTCCTCCTCCTTCTTCATTGACCTTGGTGTCTGCAGAGAGCGGTTTCTTTCACATATTCTCACCCCTCTCTCCAGCTGCAATTGCTCCTGCACAGTAACTTTCCCCCTTCTTAAATATGTTATCCCAGAGGCACTACCACCATCGCTGCTGGGCTTGCCCTTGTCCGGTGGCAGGTCCATCTTGTCATCAGGCTGTCATCAGTTCTATCAGGCAAAGAGGAAACTTCCAGCAGCTTCTCTTAGAAGCCACCCCTGTAGCCCCTGACCCACTACCCAACCCTTGCCAAGCAAACCCAATACAGACCTTAAGCTCACTTTAAGACACCTTTCTTTTCATCATCAATTTAATATAATAGTAATGAGCAAATAGGATATACAGTGTCCATAATCTTTTATTTATTTTTGCACAGTTTATACATTATGGTTAAGTAAATATGATGCATTGTCTTTTCCATGTGTAAGTCTCCTTCCAGTTTAACAGGGGTCTATTTTTACTGTATTTCCTTCCTTGGAGATGTCTCCACTGATGGCTGCATTGTGGCTTCTAAAAGCAGGGCAAATATGACTTACAAATGGTGGTAGATTCATACCAACTTCCTATTAAGAAGAGGGCAGAGGCAAGGGGAGAGCAAACTCCTATGGCAGAGGTAAAGAAACACAGCTGGAAAGCATGGGCATAATCATAGTCCTCACACAGAAGGATGGTGATAGCACTGCCAAACCTTTTCCTCTCCCTGTTCTGTTTTTATACTTTGGGATTTTTCTTTGGGTTTTGCAGTTTAGCCTTCCTGTTGTATTTCATACTAAGATATTTGATAACAGAGGTGTAATCCTTGTTGGGAAACAAGTAAAGCAAACAACCAAAACCACGGCAATGTGCACTAGAGTAGATTCTTCTGCATTCAGCAGCTCACGGAAAACATGTAACACTGTTGTTGGTCTGATTTAAGTTTTTATATCCATAGTTGTACAGAGAGTAACCTGAGGCATCAGGAGTTCAGTATTACTATGATGACTAATGAAAAATCCTTTTGTTTGTAATTGGGCATTGATTCTTCCTTTATCCTTCTGCATGAATTCATGCAGCGTACTGTCCTCCATTTGCAAACTGGCACTGGGGAAAACATTTTCTTCTGATAGCTGCTCTTTGAAATTGTGCCCTCATTTTTGTTTTTCCTGAAATACTTTGCAGGAGAGAACGTATTTAAGTACTTGCATTTCCAGAATTAACAAAAGCAGCATTCAGAGCAGGGCCGTGTTGCGGCAGAGGGGAAGGAAGGGTGGAAGTAGTCACTGCGCTATGAACCTCATGACTAGGGGTGTGGGATGTGCAAAGACTGATTGCTTGCAAAGGAGATGAGAACTGTGGCTGTTCTCAGAAAAGCAGACAAGGCTTTCAGGCTGAACCACTGCAGATGATCCCTTTAACTCTTGATTTGGATCATGTATCTAATGCTGCTCACCTTTTACCTCTGAGAAATACAAGCATACCCACCCTTATCCCCAAAATGAGCCTACCTGCTGTACAAAGAATATAGATAAATAATAGCAATTATCCACCTTGGTGCATTTCTTGGATTTTGCCTGTGGCATTTCCTTGGATCAGATTGGATTGGGTGACTTAAATGACAGTGGACAACAAAAGACTAAACAGTTGCTTTGTGGAGTAACTCAGATGACTGACAAAATGTATGTATTGTTGAGTTTATGGGTTAAGAAAGGAAAAAGCAGCGATTTTGAGACACCGTGGATGTATTTTTATAAATACAGAGTGTTTTCATATGAAGTATGTACTGTTTCTGTATTTATTTCTCTTTCTTTGTAGCAGAAGAAATACATGGTTCTCCTGTAAGCTCAAAAGCAGTATCTTTCTTCTTCACTAAGTAATTCTTCATCTGAGTAGCAGGGAGTCTTATGAACCATTTTGAGCTGATGTTAATTTTATAAATTGCGCTCTTTTTTTCCACAATTCCCATGAAAAAGGTATTCAGCTCAATGAACGCTCTTGGAAAATTTTAATGGGACCCTTGAAATCTGTTTGAATTCAGCTTCTTTAAAAAAAAAAATCTTTCTAATGGAAGCTGTGAAAGTGTCAGAGATTCTTATGCCTTAGAGGCAGTTTTTCTTCCATACATAATGGTGAAACTCCACTGTTATAATATATGGGTGTTGAAAATATTCTCTTTGTTAAATTGAAGTTCCTGCTTAGAAGTATGTGAGTTGGGCTCTTTATGTTTGTTTTGTGTGACTTACATTATTATTCTTGACCAGTATTCATATGATTTTCATAGCGCTTTCTGTTTGGTGCTTTATTTTCCAGTCTTTTCCTGGCCCAAGTCTTGAAAGTGAAGATTTTAACATACCTCCTATAACTCCTCCATCATTGCCTGACCACTCCCTGGTGCACTTGAATGAGATAGAGTCTGGGTACCACTCTCTGTGTCATCCCATGAACCACAACGGCCTCCTTCCATTCCACCCACAAAACATGGATCTACCTGAAATTACAGTTTCCAACATGCTTGGCCAAGACGGAACACTGCTTTCCAATTCCCTCTCTGTGGTAAGCGTTTTCAGTCTTTCCCTTCTGTTCTGCTTTAAGTTGTGAAATCATGCAAATACAGACCTGTTTGAAATCCTCCAAGGGGCCAGCTCCTGCACCACACAAGTCCTGGAGTGAGCTGGCCTGACTCTGGGTTTTACATCACACTCCCTATGTCAAATCCTCCCCCACCCCTAGAGGCAGTGGGGGTTTTACAGCCAGGTTCCTCAGAGCCAGGATGTTACCCGCTGCCTTGAGTAGAATTACTCCCGCTTTGCATGGATGTGAATAATACAAAAGGAGGCTCAAGGCTTTGACTTCTGCTGGAACAGGGTTTGGATCCAGATGGCCGTTGTTCTGTGTTTGTCTGATGAGCTCTTTCCATTCTCATTTGCATGTGCTGAGAGCTGTACAAAAATTTAATATCTCCTTTCTTGTTTACCGCACGTTTGGAAAACAGCAAATGTTATTTCTGATTCTAGGCCAAATCTTATAGCCTTTTTACAGTTCCCGGTCCTTAGCCAGCCAGAATCCAATTGAAATGACTGGACGATTTGCTTATGAAGTCTGTCAGATAGTCATTATGGTCGTAATCTTGGGAAGCCTGATATTATAAATCACTTCTTTGAATGTTAAATTGGTTGCAACAACTGCAGAGCTACTTTACATGTTACATTTTCAAGTGGGCTCTGCAAATAATTAGTATACTTCTGGCATAGCAGCTCCAGACAAGATTACTTCACATTCATGTGTAATTCTAATCCAAAGAGTTAAAAATCCCATGGAAAACGATGGGGCCTGGCATTGTGTGGGGCTCTCTGGACTTAAGGCGCTCTGCTAGATGAGCTGCCCAGGAACTGCAGATCTGGACAGGTAAAGTTAAGGATCTGCTGTTCCTAGAGATCCAAGGGTCTGACCTTCTCACCGAAGGATCAGAGGCTTAGGGCCCTGTGTCCCAGCTGGGAGGCTCTGCACTTAGGGACTGAGGTTGTTTAGGTTTCCGGGTTGCTGGCTCCTAATTACCAAAAAATCCCCCAAATCAGCCCTGGGAGCCTGGGAACTGAGGCAACATATGGAGCCTGGGGGCTGAGGGATCTAGGCTCAGCTCCCCATCAGCCCCTCAGACTAACAGCCCCAGAGCCAGGGGCCGTAGTGGCTGGAAAACAGTTAGTTTACAACAAAAATCTACTTTGTCACAGGGCTTCGTTGCAACTTAATTAAAATAAAGCTGCCTTGATTTGCGTTCCCTCTGAGGATGTCCAACAAGCTGTGCTGCAGGGGGGGCTAGTCTTGGCTTCTTATGTGCTGCTTAGTTATTGATTTACTAGGATGTTGCACGCTTTGTGTTTGAGGTCAGAATCTGACCCCAGCATTACGTTCAATAATGGGAGGAGAAAGGGAGGGGCAGATTTTCATAAGAATATATATACATCATATATATTTCATGGAAATGTTCTGTTTTGCTTGCATTTCTGCAAAGCTGATGGCATATGTAAAAGAGCATGAGCTAAATCTTGTGTGGTATTCTGAGAATCAGAGCTATGAAAGGACTTGGAAAAGTAAGTGAAACACTTGGCACTCCAGTCAAGACAAGCAGTATTTCATTGAATTGACCTCTTTGGAGCCATGGCTATGGCTCAAAACTATGCATTCTTTTAAGCTCTTATGTTCCACATTAACCTCTTGCAACAACCTCTGAATAAAGGGCCTTGAGAGTTTTTAGATCATCACAGTAAATTATTGCATTGAGGGCAAATACAAAAAAGCTGAATAATACGACTAGGCAATTTTGCTTTGGGAGTTAGTGAAGTTCAGAAAAAAATTACAATCAGACGTCAAAAAAACGTATGCTAAGTTTTAACAGTAATTTCTGAGGATTTGTTCAATAAATAAAGCATGATCCCTGAAACATCATGGGCTAAGTCAACTGTTATCCCTAACTTGCATGACCTTTGCACACAAGAGGGCCTCTTAACTAGCAATAGTTTTAACTCAAGCTGGCTTGTCTGTCAAGGGGATTAAGCTACACCTCCTGTTAGTACAACTGGTAGGATGTTAACGCCATGATTTTGTACGGTTGAAACACTTTGACAGTATAGTTCCTCTAATTTGAATTTGGTAACTTGAGAGAAATTAACTTGAGGGAGATAATTTAACTTAACTCTTCAGTGAGTTCACTGACTTCTTCAGTGAATAGAATGGACCCATTGTCCTTTTGGCTTTCCATTGATGAAGGCAGACAGAGGGTTTTATGGAGTTAACATTCTTTACGTAGCTTTGAAGCTCTTCTTTATAACCCAGAGCCTTTTACATTTTTATTTCAATGTGACTCTTTTCTCTTGTTATTACTCATCTCTAAGTTTCTTTTTTACTGTATCATCAAACTCTGATCCATTTAACAAGCGCTTGCCTAAATCACTTTTATATTGCCTCACATATAAAATAATGTATAAGTTTTGCCCATCTATCTAAACCCTTGGTGCTCTATAATTTCTGGTATATCAACTACCGCTTAGTGTATTTGGAAACCATGTATCTCACTTCATTTTTCAGGGAACTAATGAATATTTTTAGAAAAATTATTATTAGAAATGAATCTGTTAGCTGTTCTCTATCCTTAATTAATTTCACATCTTCAGCAAATTTTACTTATATTGGGACAATTTCAGCTGCAATGCAATATGCCTCCGATTGAGTTTGGTCTTTGGGTTGTTTTTTTTTATCCTTTATTACTTTCATCATCCTTCCTTTCAGCTAGTTTTTAACCTATGTTGGTATTTTAGCAATAATACCTTCCTTTTTGTCTGTGTTAGAACTGGTGAGTGGTTTTCAGTTTGTGTTTTTATAGAAAAAGCATTAATTAATGCTAGCCAAATGAGAGAAAGGAAACACAGTTTGCTCAGAAGCCGTATAGGAAAACAGTTTGGACACTGAGTATAACATTTTTCTTTTATCTCAAATACCAGGTGTTCTCAGATGAGAATTTCTATGATTTTGGGCAGATTGAAAATGGAGGATGCACCCCTCCTAAAACCCCTTCAAATCTCCCCCCATTAGAAGTCCTGGTTTCATACTGTGCAGCTCTCCCTGCAAGCTGCAGATGAAATCCCTTTGAGTAAGGATTGCGGGATTTGCCCCAAGCTCTGTAAGAATTCTCCTCTGTGGAAGTGCTTAAACACACACAATAAGAGCCCACTACCAGCTCAGTGAATTCTTATTAGGGATCAGCTTCTTACAGATTTTTTACACTGTGGGAATTCTTTCTGAGAAATTTTACAATGCTGGGAGATGAAAATTTCCTGTTGCCATTTAGTGTGTCTGATGATACTTAAATTCAGAATTAGCCTTCTTTGAAGTTTATTTTGATTGATTTGACTTCCCCTTGCACCCCACTACTTAAAAAAAAACAAAAAACAAACAAACAAAACCAACAAAAGACCCAAACACTAAAATTTCTGTTTCTTATTCTACTGCTGTCAGTTCATACATCGGCTTCTATGTTTGCGTATTTCTGTTTTCTGCTTAGGTGACATACAGGCATATACATACATGCACATGCACACTAATTTATACCATGCCATTACATGTAGATTTCTTTAGATGCTCATTATATCTGGATATTGGGGGTTCAGAAGTCTGCAGAATTTGTGCAGAATGTGACACATGGTGGTATGAACACACAGTCCAGCCCCAGCATGGTCAGCTACATGTGGGAGCTCTCTAAAGTCCTCCTTCAAAATAGACATGACTTCTATTCCTGCTTCTTAAATGGATCCAATTAGGTATAGATAGAGTTGTTTAAGGAATGTGTTGTGCTGGTCCTGTAGGCATGTTTGTTTCTATATAATGGAATAGGGATCCCTTCCTGATTTACTACAGTTGAAGGTAGCACTGTGTAGGTTTGGTTCAGTTCCAGCTGGGGCTTAACCTGCCAGCACTTCTCTGCATCAATTTCCTGAAATATTCCAAGGACCACAAGAAATACCCTTCTGACATTTGCAAACAAATGAGTGTATATACCATCCCAATGAGAATGTGTGTTTATCTGTAAAAATGCTTTTGGATGTGTTCTATAAAATGAGTTTCACTGTGTGTTCTTTTTATCAACAGAATTATAGTCTCTACAGCTTCTTCAGTATGTCCTGTAGATGATTGCTTTTTCCTCCAAGAAACCCAGGGTTAAAAATCTCAGTGCTGTTTTTACATAGAGGAGAAAAAAACCCTATTTATGGAATGCTTTCATTTATAATCTTGTGCCGATCTTTTTGAAAATGTGGCTCATGATGGTATACTATAGAAAATTTACAAGAAAGAAATAAAAGAGACTAGTTTCTTGAAATGCTTCAAATTTGGGGGTTTGAAGTTTAAAGTGGAAAAGATGTTAAAAGGCAATAAAATCAGGGGATTTATTTCCCAAATGCTCTACTTGTGCTGGTAACAAAAGCCAGCATAATGTATATAGTTAGGTTTATTGTCATTTTTAGTATACTGTCAAGGCACACTTTGAATTCAAAGGCTACTGTACAACTGTTTTGACAACCACCACATCAGTAGGTAATGTGCAGGACATATGAAACTGAAGCAAAAATGTTTCTTTAGGTCTATAGGGAGTGCAGTACATCAATGAATTCAGATATATTAGAGCAGCATGAATTTCTAATGCACTGCTCTTATGGAAAAGACCACTGGCATATTGAATAATGCTGCTTTCAAAGCAGAGCAGAAAATGTGATTACAGACAATTTCATTGCTGTTTTTAAAATAAATATTTTCAAAATCTTGAGGTATTTTATTTCATGTAATGCATAAAATAGGTAACAGTGGACTAGAGCTAAAGATCTTCTAGGACACAGAAGAGTAGATGATGTCAGCTATAATTATTCAGATGTGGAATAATAGAAGCATTAGTTTAAAATAAAATGCATGTCACAAAGGCCCATGTCCTTATATTAAAAAAAAAAAAAAGCTTTTTTTTTTCTTTTTTCACACTTTGACAGAAGAATAAAGGCAATGAATAATTA